ATGGGGGTTCCTTAAAGAGCCACCCAAGGGACCATAGTGAGATCCAGGGTGTGGCCACACACACCTCTGTAAGTCCTCCAGTCTTTTGAGGTCATTCCTTCTGTTGGCATTTTAAAAAATTATTATTCTATTTTTAGAGGTGGCATCTTACTATGTTGCCCAGGCTTGTCTCAAGCTCCCAAGCTCAAGTGATCCTTCCACCTTGGCTTCCCAAAGCGCTGGGATTACAGGCGCATGCCACCATGCCTGGCCATGTTGACATTCTTTTTTTTTTTGAATTGGAGTCTCACTCTGTCACCCAGACTGGAGTGCAGTGACTGCTCCCGGCCACCGCAGCCTCGACCTGCTGTGCTCCGGCAATCCTTCTACCTCAGCCTTCCAAGCAGCTGGAACTACAGGCACATGCTACCACGCCTGGCTCATTTTGATTTATTGTAGAGATGAGGTCTCGCCAAGTTGCCCAGGCGGGTCTCGAACCCGCGGGCTCAGGCAATCTACTCACCTCAGCCTCCCAAAGACGCGGAATTATAGGCTGAGCCACTGAGCCCGGCTGTGTTGACATTCTTAAAGGACAGGCTTAACCCCTCCTATGGGGGCAATCCAGAACCCCCTACATTTCCAAAGATTCTCGGGGAAGGGAGACTTTATGTTTCCCTGATCACCTCTTGCTCTGATTTCTTGCTTCTGCCATACTGTCCCACTCAGTGTCTCCTCTCTCGCTTCCTCTGTCCCCTACATTTACCCAGTGAGGAGGGCGCCATTCCCGCCAGCCCCCTGCCCAAAGCCCATTCACACTGGGCCGTGAGCATAGCCACCTGCAAGGAGGTGGGGGCCAAAGGGTGGGGACTTCAGACCACAGCCCAGCACGGCAAACAGATTCAGACTCCCCCTTTCACCCCTGCCTTTGAGACCCCCTTGGGTGTCCCTGAGGTGAGAGTTTCTCCCTGTCCTGCTCAGCCCCTCTGTCCCTCTCCCGCCTCCCTCTGTCCCCCATCCCTGTGCCTCTGTTTCCCTCCTTGTCTCCCAGGCTTTGTGCTGGAATATGTGGTCATCGAACTTCCCCTTGGCCTGCTCTGGGCATCTAGACTGCTCTGGCAGAACAACACAGGACTCTCCCCAAGAGGCTTCACTGCCGCTGGCCTTCCAGGAAGCAAGTCTTTCCTGTCCCATTACCCTCAACTCTCGAGGCAGTTCAATGCAGAAAAAGAGTCATCAAGCCTCAGAGCTCTGTGAGTCCAGCCCCCTCATTTTACACGAGGGGAAACTGAGGCCAAGAGGGGGAAAGTGACCTGTCCAGCCATCTAGTCTATAGCAGAGTGAGTCTGGAGCTCTCTGGCCTGGCCCAGGCCACAGTGTTGCTGCCACAGCCTCTGCTGTGCTGTCTCTTGGGGTCCCCAAGGCTCTAGGTTAGACTTTGTGGGTTTTGGTGCCTCAGCTATTTTGCAGCCTGGGGAATGGGGCTGGCAACATGGGTGAAAGGGGCTGTGATGGTGAGGTTGTGGAGAGGGGTGAAAGAAGCTTGGGATGGACTCAGAGAGCGTGACCAGCAGAGCAGCAGGCAGGGTGCCAGGTCTGAGGTGTTCCAGGGAGCACAGCACCACCCCAGAAGCCAGGACGTGGGCTTGGCACTGCTGGGGGGCTGCGTTTGCAGGAGCAAACTGACCAGGCTGTGTGGTCAGTCAGGCCTGGGTGCTCTGACCAGGATGTGGCTAAGGGGCCTCGGAAAACAGGCACTGATTCTAGGGTGTCCCAGCGTGGTCCTGCATTTCTTTTTATCCCACTCCTTTGGGGAAGGGACCATCCAAGCCTGAGCTGTGAGCGATGGATGGCCCATCAGGGCTGCCCAGTGAAGCCAGGCAGGCTGTGCAAAGTACAATCCATGACACCCATCCAGCAGCCACAATATGGTGGTGCCCCCTGGAGCTGTGCAGAGCAGTGCCCAGATCAGACCATCTGACATTCCCCTATTTATCTAGCTGAGGGGAACCCGCCTCTTTTCCTCTGAGCTCCCAGCGCTGGCTGCAAGCTAGGTATTGAGTTTGCATGATGCGCTTGGGAGGATCTCAGAGATGAGACAGATTTGAAAGAGTCAGCCAGTGCCCCAGCTCTGTGAAGTTGAAAGAGAGGGAGCTGTTTATGTCTTGTTTGTTTGATTAGCTGGTTGAGTGTGTGAGCGTGTGGGAAGGGCTCGAGCAGCAGAGAGACCTAAGTTTGTTTCATTTAACACTGTGTGAAATTTCCTGGTCCCAACTGATTTTTAAAAAAATCTGCTTAGTTTTCGGAGAGGAAGTGTGGAGACATCCTTTGCTGTTTCAGCTCTTGGGGTGGGAGGGACTAGAGACCATGTTTTTTCCTTTCTTCCTTTCTGTGCCCATTTTCTCCGACATCCGACCCCGCCCCAGGGCCTTCCTGGGCACTGCCATCTCTGTCTCTCCTCTTCCTCTGCTCCCAGCTCTCCTGGTCCCTTCCTTCCTGCCCACTCATGTCCGCTCTTTGAGGCCAGGGACCCTGTGCCTTGAGGAAACTTCAGTTCCCCCTGCTCTGGAACCTGGTGCCTGGCTAGCATCTCCCAGCGCTAGAGCCATCCCTTCTCCGCTCCAGGTGGCCTCCCTTCTGACCTCAGGGGGGCTCAGCTGGTGGGGAGCCCAGCCGGGGGTGACATAACAGTGTGAGAACGTGGCGGCGGTGGCTGAACCTGTGGGAGCCGGGGGGGGGGGG